TAGGGAAGAGTACTTTCTGTAGCCTCTTCTTAGCTTTTGGTGATTGCTAGCAATGCCTGGTGTTCCTTAACTTGCAGTGACATCACTGCAATCTCTGTTTTGTTGTTACATGGTCATCTACCCTCTGTCTTCCATGTCTGCGTCTGTGTCCAGATTTTCCTACTATAAGGAGACCAGCACTGGATTAAGGTTCGCCATAATCCAATATGATCTCACCTTAACTTTATTGTATCTGCAAAGACCTTATTCCAAATTAGGTCACACATATCTTTTTAGGGGAAACAATTCTACCCACTACAAGCCCATGTCTTACCTAGGCTGTTGGTGGTAAGAAGGTGAGATTACCACCTCTTTTGAAATAACTAATGTGTGTGGTAATTAAAAGTTTGGTTCTAAAAATAATATTACTAAGGTTTTTTTTTTTCATTTTAATGTATCCTTTTCTCTCAACATTGTTTTGGTTTATTTAGATGCCTTATATTAAACTTACGTAAATATTAAAGTTACTTTTATTGGAACATAATAAAGTTAGGGAATTTAATACTTAAATAAATTCTTCAAAAGGATATATGTCTGCTGAACTATTAGGATTTCCCCTCATTCAATTTCTTTAATAACCTATATTCTTCATAAAGCAAGCTGCTTCTGAAGGGAAGGACCATTTTTCAGTCTAATTCTTCAGAGATCCTTGTGTTGACATCTTGCAGCATTTGAAAATGCTCAGAATGGAAAAGGCAGAAAGGAAGAAAGAAAGAAATGCGACTGAAGAAATGTCTTTTAGGAGGTGAATGAGGAATGATGAAACCCACCAAATACTGGCAATTACAAAGTAAAGTTATATATCATTTCACTTTATGGATGGAAAGGGTCATTGAGATGATGTAGATAAAAAAGCAAGCATTGTCCATAGAACACTGAGAACGTGTACAGACAACGTGTGTAAAATGAGATAAGAAAGAAAGAAAGAAAAGATTATGGCAGGGATTAGGATTAAAGGCAGCAAGGGCACATACAGTCATTAAACTTTGATCTTAGCATGGAGATGTCTGTGTCTGTTTTCCTAGCTCAATGCCCCACACATAGTAGACACTTGATAATGTGAAGAGGAGAACCGGTGACAGAATCAAGAGGGAGCTCATTGACAGGATCAATGGGAAGAGTCGGGAATTGGACTAAGCTTGAACCTTGCCACTGCCACCATTGTATGACTATGGGCAAGTCATTCAACCTTCGTAAGTCTCAACGTGCTCATATGAAAAATGGGAATGTTATCCCGTTTACCCCATCTCTTAGGGTTTGAGCAAACAATTGCGTTTGAAACCAAGCAGTAGCTAATTCACTAATGTTTCCTTATATTGGCTTTCTCTAACTTCTCACCTCATTTCCCTTGTTTCTCACTCTTCCTCCTTCACATTGCCTGCCCTAAAAAAGTATTAATAGATAAGCTTTTGTTTCAGGCTCTACTTTCTGAGGCACCCAGGCTTAGGCAAGATTTAAAAAATGTAAACTGTCTAAATTATCAAATGAATACTCAATAAACAAAACAAGGAAATTACAGATCGTTTAAAGAAACATTGATAAAAGCA